TTGATCGTAAGTAAGCTACTGAATATATTTTTGCCCATGATATGTGTATTGAAATCAGAAAAGGTTTTAGAAAAAGTAGGTTGTAAGAATGTAGATGGCACTAGTTTCATTTGCCAAATTTTTTTCAGAAACGGGCTTTGTGAATTGACTGAAATTTTTAATATGCATAAAGGCATGTTCTTAAAAAGAACTCAACAAAATAATATGGAGTATTGATAAGCCTGTGGAGATCCATTACACAGCCACATCAGTGAGCCTGCTCTTTTCAGCTCGGGATGAGGAAAAGCAGTTTAAATGCAGAAAGTTGACTCCAGCTTGCGGGGCATGAAAGTTAGTAAATAAGTCTTACTGAAACTAAGGAAATATATCTACTTAGTAAATGGGCTTTTGTTTGGCAAAGATGGTGAAAAACAAAAATTGCAATTAGCAAATACAACGTAAGTTTTCAGAAAGGATTTTTTTTTTTTTTTTTTTTTGCCATGAGAATACAAGTGTATTATGTATTCTAAGTATTTGATAATTAATTAAGTTTTAAACATTGTTAAACTTTTCTATCCCAAGCACCAGTAGTTTTCATAGCCAAGCAGCCTGGTTTTAGTGCCTTCAGTGCGGGCAGGAAGAAAGATAAATCCTCCCGTTGGTTTTAACAGGAGAAGGCTGGACTACTCAGGTATGGAGCACCTCTGCTTTCTGCCAGCCAGCAAGGCTTTGGGCAGGGTGCTTGGCCAGGAGCAGCAGAGGAGGGTTGGGGAAGTGGCAGTGGCAGTGCCAAAGCATTGGGCCACGGGGGTTAACAGGAGGAAATTCCCCTGTTGCAAAGCGTGGGTTGGGGCTGGAGGACCCATGGTGTTGCAACAGGGAGAAACTGGAAGTGAAAGAGGGTGGAAGGGTGCTTTCACAATGAGAATTTCAGAGACAGGAAGCAAAAATTCAGAGGAAACGGGTCGTCTTTAGTGCTGCTGCTTAGAATATAATCTGGGCTTAAAGCTGCAACTGAGACGTTGGAAGAGGGAAGGTAAGCTGAGAGGCACATTTCTAGGTTTCCCTGGTGGTACTTAGTCAGGGCCAAAGGATTTCTTTCCCTGTAGAGAAAAGAAAGGTTTGCAGTGGATTGCTTTTGTTCTCTGGAAATGATATACTAACCAGTGGCTGGGATTTTTTTTTTGTATTGTTTATTTTTTCCAGCAACACATCCAACCAAATATTAAACCCACTCACATTACTTGGCAACTTAGTAAGAGATAAAAATGAAATAATTTAGCATGGGCCAAGTGTAAGTTAGGAAAGAACTCTGTTCATACCAGGCACCATAAGATGAAAGAGGCTTTCTGCTGCTTTGCATTCCATGTGCTCCCACTCTTTTTCCACTCACTTGAAAGCTAATCCATGGTTTTGGAATTCTCTTCACAACGATTAGTTGTGTAGCAAAGGATTATGGCTTTAGATGAACTGTAACCAATGAGTTGAACTGTGAACATGCAGTTGCTTTTCAATGCAAACATACCTACTAGTGGAATGGAGACAGAGTGCTGAAATTACAGCTACAGTAACAAGTGTATTCAGCTCTTCCAATTGTGCCCAAATGTTCCATTTCCTACAAAACTCCTTATGTGGACTTCATTTGGGTTGGCAGTAGGAATAGGGCAGTACACTTATAAATAGTAATACATGAAAAATCCTTACAGTAGCAGATAGAACTGTGCAGTATTTACTCTTTTAGATATAACTTCTGTAGATTGTAGGCTTTTTAATGGAGTTGTGATTTTTGTTATAGACGCGTGTTATACATTTCACAATTCTCACTTAATTGTTCCTTAGCTATGACCAGACATCCTACTAAATTATATTTTTAGACCGTTTCCTAAGGAAATGAGGCTTGCGCAAAGTCGTGCTGTCACAGTCAGCTGTCATTGTCCACCCATCTGTCTACCCTTGGTAACTGCCAATTTCAGGCAAACCTGACAGACTAGTGGAGGTAAAGGAGCTATTTCTCTGCAGTTCAGGATCTAGGAGGGACACTGTCATGTTCCCCCACTTGAGAGGAACCCCAGTGATCCCAGTGCATACCTACCTTGTGGGAGCCCAAGCAAGATGGGCATCACCAGGCAGGCAGCCAAAGCTGGCCAGGGAGGGCAGCACGTGGTTGGGAGATAGACCAGGCTTCACAGGTGTGAAAAGAAACTGAGATGCAAAAGCAGTCGTCTGATAAGGGGGGGCTGTAGCTGAGGGTGCTGCAGGAGCTGGCAGAGGCAGGGAGGAATGGTGCAGCAGGAGGTGCAAGGAGAAAAACAGGAACAGATTTCCCTGGTTCTGCTCTTGGAACATCTTGTATCCTCTTCTCCCATAGAGATACAGTTACTGATATTAAAACCTCACATTACAATGACTGGTAGATAATGTTGTGCATACACTTCACTGAGCTTGGCTGCAGGTGGCTCTCTGAGTACTTCCTTACCTTAAGCTGTTTGGAGACCAGAGCTTTGGTGCATGTCACTGGTATTCTGAAAGGTTCATTGGTAGCTTGTAATCATCCTTAAAAAATTCAGTTACATTAAATATTAGAGCTCAAAGTGAGGAAGTCCGTGTATTTGCCTTTACTGATAAAGAAAACCGGCCACATATCTGACTTTTCCTGCACTGTCATGGTTTGTTTTGAATGGGGAGGATGGAAAGGAATGCTTGAAATGTCAAGCACAGCATTGGAAAATCTGTGGGAAAAGATGCAGTAACTCCAAGTAAAAGAAAGTGCCTGCATGATAACCTTTTCCAAAATCTTTACTCACCTTCGTTAGACTTCAGATGGTGGTTGTTTTATTTGTTTTTACAAATGTGTTATGTGTTTTCACGATGGTTTGTTGGCAAGTTTTGTCTTTTTTTTTTTTTCTGTAGATGTTTCTGTTTATGACATTTCTCTTATCACATTGCATCCCTCTATTTTCCATTATCTCAGTGCTCTTTTTAACCAGTTGTATTCTGGTCAGCTGCTTCATCAGCTGCTCCTTTTCTCAATTTTATTAGTTCTGCTCTAATCCAAGGCACAGTGCTTTATATCTCCCTTACAAAGCATAACAAAACCTGGGCTTTTAATTGAGAAGGTTCCATCTTACTATAAGGCTTATTGTAGGATGAATCCGCTGAGATACAGTTGTTTGTTCTGCATGAAGTTGTAACGAGGATTTTCTAACTAAATGACCCTTAAGTTGTGTTTGTTTATATTATCCTAACTTAATGCTCCTTAATTCTCATACTATATACATCCTTGCCTTTTGGTTGAAAATGATCTCTACACTGATGAAAAATTCCAGTAATCTTGGCGGAGATCAGCCCCAGCCAACTTTTGATTAAAGCTTGCTTGGCATAGAAGCACTGCTTTCCTGCAATTGTCTCCCCCTGCACAATAAGCTGGTCTCTGTCATTTTGTCTGAAAGGGCAGCCACAGGCTCTCAGTTCAAATTAAGTACTTAGAATTACATTAGGATGTAAGCAAGCTCCAACAGGAAGCAAGGAGCTGCTCGAGAAGGTCAGGAAACACTTAGGTTCATCGGAATTTTCTGCAATCTTCCTAGATGTTAAGGCTGCAGAAATTAACGTCTTTAACTCTTCTTGCATGTGATGTGGTTACCTCTGCACTGTTTGTGTGCTGTTCAGCTAAACCTGCAAAGTATGCCAGATAGCTGCACTAAGCATAGTTTTGAATTCTTGTACGTTAGCCCTGAAGTGGTCAGGCAGTTGGACTTGGATCTCTGTAGGCCCTTTTCGATTGAGTTATTCTATTTAATATATTGTGTGTGTGTGTCTATATATATATATATATATATATACATATATACTATAATACTCAGATTTTTCAGTGCTGCCACGGCCCAGCTAAAGTGTTTGAATTGTTAAAATGAAATTGCGTGTTTCTCCTTCTAATAGGACTATTTAAAGAAACAAGAACAAAGTCTCATTTTTTTCATTCATTTTCCCATAATCAGTATGTATTCATAGTGTCTGAAGTGAATCTCTCTCCTCCCACCAAGGATCTAGATGCATGGAGAAAAGTGCAAAATCTGTGATTTTTATGTTTTTTGGGTTTTTTTTGCATTCTGTCCAATGCATGATATTTTGGGTGTTGCTTACCTTTGAGATTTCATCTTTTGTGTTATCTTCAGAACTTTTATAGCTGAATTTTAGAATAGATGGCTACTTATTAACTTTATCTTTTTGTTTATATATAAGTTTAAGCAGCCTTTGCTGCAGAAGTTTGAAAGTGAATGGTGCAGCTTTTCCTCTACATTACACCCCAGAAAAGAATGTAATGGTATTGTTGTTGCTTTTGTATATTGTATTAAATTCTGTAATTGAAGCCATGACAGTACAGCAGAATTTGGAGGTTTTAGGGAAATGTACTCCAATAATCTTCCTCATTGTGAGGTCAGTGCTTCTGTGGTACATGGCAAAACTTGGATGGAGGAGGTGCAGGTTTCACAAGAGGGCTTGCAGCTGGAAATGGTTGCAGCTGTAGCTGCCTGGGTAATGAAGTGAAGAATGAAGAGAGCAGAATGTTATCTGTAGAGAAACTAAGGTTTTATCCCTCTGCTGGTTTATTTTTTGCATACTTCTTTCTCATGTTTTACTTGAGTCAAATTAAAATCGTCACTAAAATGAAAATGCATGATAGGTTAACTGGATTTTTAGGAGATATAATTGTGCAAACCTTCTTGAGATTTATGGAAGTTTCCGTGGTGAAGAAACCGGTGTTTTTAAGTGTGTTAAGATTCTGGTACTATTGGGAAGGGAAGAGAGTGATGATAGTGCCGTACATAATGGTGTTTAAGCAAGATGTCAAAGATCATCTCTTAAAGGTGTTGCTGTTCTGACAGTCTCCATCGTCAGAGAGAGAGATCTCCCTTATTGAGAGATGAGATTTGAAGTGACGTAGGCATGCATTGCTACATTGTCAGCAGTGTGGGAAGGATGTTGAGTGACCACTTTCCGCTTCTGTCTTTATTGAACAGGCTTAGGAAAAACAAAAAGAAAGACGAGCGCACGAGACGCCTCGCCCACTCCCAGCACAGATGCAGAGTACCCTTCCAATGGCAGCAGCGCAGACCGCATCTATGACCTCAACATTCCTGCCTACGTCAAATTTGCCTATTTGGCGGAGAGAGAGGATGAACTGTCCCTTGTTAAAGGGTCTCGGGTCATTGTCATGGAGAAGTGCAGTGATGGCTGGTGGAGGGGGAGCTACAATGGACAGATTGGCTGGTTTCCTTCGAACTATGTGGTGGAGGAAGTTGAGGAGGCCACAGCAGATTCACCGAGCTTTCTGAGCTTGAGGAAAGGCGCTTCCATGAGTAACGGCCAGGGCACCAAAGTACTCCACGTTGTTCAGACACTGTATCCATTCAGCTCCGTCACAGAAGAAGAGCTCAATTTTGAAAAGGGGGAAACAATGGAAGTCATTGAAAAGCCAGAAAACGACCCAGAATGGTGGAAATGTAAAAATTCCAGAGGGCAAATTGGTCTTGTTCCTAAAAACTATGTAGTAATCATTAGCGATGGTCCTACCATTAACACTTCCCATCCACCTCAGATAAGCTACACGGGACCATCTTCTACCGGACGATTTGCTGGAAGAGAGTGGTATTATGGGAATGTTACCCGACATCAAGCAGAATGTGCCCTAAACGAGAGGGGAGTGGAAGGAGACTTCCTTGTTAGAGATAGTGAATCTTCGGTAAGTGATACTCAGCACCGTGGTCTTTATATTAAAACATGTGATGTATGGTTTAGCAAGTGTGGAAGCTCATAATTGCTGTACCCCAGAGAAGGACTCTTCACCCCTAAACAAACAAGCAGTGCTTTAGTGCTACAAACTGATCCGTGTACCTTCTGTGAGAATCAATCTCTTACAGAAATACAGTGACATTTACATTTACGCTGAAATTTAATGACTGCGGACTGTATTATCCAGGGTTTTTTAATTAGCAGACAAGTAGCTAGATATTTCAAGCTTCTGTCTGACATTTCATGTATGTCCTCATATGCAACCCTTCTCAAGTTTGTAGCACTACAAGGAAAAAAAAAAATCTTGTGAATTAGAAGCTCAGACATTAATTTAAAGCCAATTTAAAGTGGGATGTTTGCATTGGTCAGTTTTGTTTTGCCTTTAATTAACATAGGTTAATAACAGACTCTTTAAATTAGATCATTTAAATTATTGATTGAATTTCTAATCTAATGTACTTCTACTTAGATTGTTTAGGTTGTAGTAGGATGAAATTATTGTATCTAACTGTTAAGATTATAATGCACAACAAAAAAGATCAAGTCAGTGGCTCATATTACTTGGAAATCGAGCCTTGGTGACATCAGAGGGGATATGAGTAATGCTGATTAGGGATTATTATAAATCTGGAAGTTCAGATTTGAAATTACACTGAAAGGCCTTTCACAAATGTTGAGGCCAGAGAAAGCATCATTAGGGTGCTCTGAATTTAATTATCACGTCACTGTGATTTTTAAAAGGTGGCAGGTTTTAATAATTCCCCAGTCACGTTTGAAACATTACAAAAAGGTGAATCTTGATTTCTCATCAGGGTTTTTCTGCATTTGTTGCTTCAACTGTAGGACCATTATTCCATGAGGATAAACTGTTTAGTACAGACTTCCATCCAAGTATTGTTAGTTCAGGTATTAAAATTCAAAATCCATATGGTTGTGTCAGCTTGGTCTTTTAAGTTGAGAGTACAGTACTATTTAAAAAAAACAGTCAGCTCCAGGCATCTATCTCTGTGAAACACTTGTCTCACATTTTTTCTGTATTGTGAATTAAGCTGATTTGTTAATGTGGATTGCAAATGAAAATTAAAGCAGTGTGAACTGCTTTAAACTTAATTTAAAGAAGGGTCAAATTCTTGACTCCAGCATGTCCTCAGGAGACTGTGTTGGTTGCATACATCACTTCTGCTTAGAACTGGTGGTAGTCTGCATTCACAATAGCCTGTGGAACTGAAGAAAAACTGTTCCCCTGTCCTGTTCCTTACGTAAGTGATTTCACTTACTAGTCAGTAGTACAAGTTGGCATTTTTAATATACTGCCTGAAATTTGGAATTGGCTGACACATTATCACTTGGTGAGGGAGATGAACAGAGGCTTTTAGTGACAGTAGAAAAAAACAAGTAGAAAAAGCCAGGGGAGTTGTTAAGTCTCTAGGATATTCTAAATACAAATTAAACCTTGCATTTTAATTTCTGAAAAGCATTGGTAGTGCATTATTATTGTTGAAGTTAGATTGATGTCTCTTTATTCTCTGAAATTTTGACATTATTGATAAAGTACAGTTGTGTAATATTCCATAATATTTTTTGTGGTTACAGAAAATTGTCTGAGTAAGTTTCAGGCATCTTTTCTCGATTGATTTTTCTGTGCAGCAGACATGAAACTGTCAGACTACTTTGTTCAAAGCTCTATTTTTAAGTTCCTATTTCTGCTTCTATTTAAGTATAATCACGAAAGGAAGACAAATGCAAATAAACCAGAGGGGACCAGGAAGGAAAACAGAGATTTAATGAAAATAAACCCGAAGAAGATAGCAAAATAGTTTGAAAACATGATTTATAAACAGGGGTTGCCAAAATCAAGTTGCTTGGTCAACGGGAGACAAGACTGAGGTAGATCATACAGTTTTCCAAAATACAGAAAGCTACCAGAGGATGATGGTAATCATTAAATTAATTGTGCAGATGTCCCCTCTGCCTTGCATCCTGTCTGCCAGGGGCAGAAGGGTACGTTGGATGCAGAATAGCCACGGTCGGTCTGAGCAGATGGAAGCTTGCTTTTTGAACAGAATGCTGCATTTTGGGTTATCCTGACTGGTACTTATTAGTCATCTTCTGCATCCTGGGAAGGTGCCAGCAGGGCAGTTTGAAACTTAATGCATTATTTTAAAATTCAAGAATATGCACCAGTTTCTCAGTGCATACCGTGTCACACTGCCCACTGTGTTACAGTTCATTTCCTTGCTCTTAAAGAGTCTAAATCTTGAGTAAAACTAATTTGCTTGAAAGGACCTTTTAATTTAATATGTCGTCATAACACTAAACACACTTGTATTCAAAGCATTTCCAAATTCACTCTCTCTGTTGTTACTGAGGAAGTCGTTGCTTCTAAAGCAGAAGATTCATTCAGAGTACAGTTTTTAAGTTATTTCCAGCATCTAACACTGGAAAAGTAATCCAGTATCTAGTATCTGTATCTAGTATCCAGTATCTATCCCAGAAAATTTACTCAAATATCATATACTCACATAATTTGTTTATACATGTTAATTATAAAAACACTGGGGATTACTAGTATGTTTTCTTTTTTTCAAGTACCAGGAATTATCTAAAAAGCTAGTGAGCGTACCTGATAGCATCAAAGGAAAGCAATAACAAAGATATGTTTCAAGCTTATTGTAGAACAAAGATTTTAGAAATAACTCCTAAATTCATGACTGTTGCCATTTTTCACACACACAACTGCAGAGGCTGTTCAAGCTGTGCCTAAAAGTCATCAAGAGCTTCTGCAGCATGAGAGCCAAAGGTCTTGATGGGAGAGGCCAGGCTGAGCAGAGTTGTTAACTCTCCCATTTCACTCATTTTTGTACTAGGCAGCACATGCCTTTGCACTGTGTTATGAATCTGCCTGCTGAAACTGAAGGTATAAGGGTTATTCCATTCTAATAAAGCCCCACAGATAAAACACTGAGTTGTCCTGGTAATCTCGTGCTTCATCTCTGAGCTGTTTTAAGTGCTTTTGTAGCCTTCTATCAGTATAATTACGGGAAGTCTCCCTTGGAAAAGTTTTCCTTATCTTTCTTTGAGATCTGTGCTTATTATTGAGCTATGTAGAGCTCTATTTGCATAGGTGAGGAGTTTTTGTGTTGTTCTGCATTCACTTTATTCAGGAAACTGTCATTTAAAACTGCACTAGATGTAGTATTTTACGATATTTCTCTTAATTTGATTATCAAATGTTGGTCTCACAGCTAGATTCCCTTAGCTACAAATTCTATCCTCAGTTACACTTCGATTGGATGGGTGCTGCCACATGGAGAATACCCTGAGATGAACCCTGTTGGGTAGCTAAGCGTCTGATTAGCTTCATTAATTACGAAATACTATTCTTAGCATCATAAACCTGTTTGAACCATTTAAACCCATAGTTTATGTAACAGGCACACTTACTGGCTGATAGATTTTGCAAACTCCATTGCACCTAGATACTGTAACCTTAGTTTTTGGAGCTGTGAATGAGGAGACTGAAGTGGAGCATATCTAGTTAGAAAAGCTGCTTTACAAGTTCAGTCCTCACATGAAGCAGAGAGGCAGCTATTTTTTCCAAACCAATCACATTTATTAGCAAGAATGAGGGATGTGACTTCATTGAACCATTCCAAGAGCAGTTATTCATTAGGATGTTATGCCAATAGTCCCATGGCAATCAATTTAATACTGTTCCCTGGGGTGGCAGGGGTTGGTATCGGGGGATGCCACAAAATGCAGGTGCATTACAGTGATTGAGGATTGTAGGTGTGGCTGGACTTTTGCCAGTTCTCTGAGGCTTCATTTAGCTCCTCTGTTCTTTGCCCAGAAATTGTGCCAACAGAGGAAGGAGGCAAAGCTTGTACGCTTTTTGAGGTGCTAATTCTGTAGCTCTCAGGGTGTCCCATATTTTTCTTGAGTTTTAATCCTTTGGATAGAAGCTATTAAATGTGGCAACTGTCCAGAAACTGCAGCACATCATATTCTGTGACATGCTGTAATTGACAGCTACAGTAAGAGAAGGAGTAAGTTTAGCCTTGAGAACAGGCTTCAGGAAATAGCCTAGTGGGTTATTTTAAATGGAAGAATAGGAGTTTTATTAGGGCTGTACTTGAAGACCATTGGAGAGAATTCACGTTTCTGACCTGCCTAAAGTTGATTTGAGAGCATGTTGGTTGTCACATAGAAGATTTGCGTGTATCTCAATAGGATGAGATAAAGGAATTTTAACCCTGCCAGATTGTTCTTTCCAGCCTAACCACAGACCTTTGAGTTGTGATGTGTTGGGTTTTTTGTTGTTGTTGCTGAGGTAGCTGAGTAGAACGGAAGAACAGGGGAAACCTGAGCTTGGAACTTGAAGGAATTGGGAAGCCCTAGATTGGGCTCACAGAATAACCTGAAAAATGACAAAATCATCTAGAGAGGAGAGGTAGTGCTGGGTGAAGCTGGATTGAAATAAAAAGCTAAGTTGTGGGATCAGTAAAAGGCTTTCAGGGGAGTTATTTTTCCCAGCAATGCCACTTAAAGTAAAAGGGTCCTGCACCTTCGTCAAATGGGGATTTTAAAGAGGGAACTTTCTATCCTGATTTGCCTTGTTTTCCCTCATATCGCTTCGTAGCTTGTCTTTATGACATAGTTTTCAGTCTGTTTTGATGATGAAAGAAATAAAACTGAAGGAACATGTTCCTGCATGTATATCTGCCATGAGCTGTAGGCACAGTCGTGTCAGTCATTAAGAAAGAATTAACAGCTTCTGAAGTAATTTTGAAGAATTTTACACGGGGACTGAGGAACTGCAAATGCGTAACAGCCGATCTTCAATTTTCATTTTTAGGAATGGATTTGACTTCAGATTGAGGCCTTCCCAATTATGGCAGCACAGAAATATTCAAAGGTTCCCTGCCATGAAGCTATGCTCTGTGATTCTGTGGCAGAGTCATCAATGACTCTGTAGGTTTCTGAGATTAAAGTTTACTTCTGATATGCCTTTGTTTACTGGCATGTGAGGCTTTTATTCCTGGAAAAGTTAGCGTGCAAACATACAAATACAGCAATTAATTTAAGAGGGACAAGGGAGGAAAAAATGGCCAGCAGTTGAAATAAAACAGCTTAAATAGTAAATAAAATAAACAGAGTTGGAGCAAATCCAAGGAGGACAGCAGGGAACCAATTCAAGCTGCATCAAACCAGCATACTTTAGAGCAGTAATGTTAAGAGCTCTAATTAATCTGCAGATATATTTTTAAAATGATTTTTTTAAACCATCTTGTATGTTGGATACAGTGGGGAAATACCAAAATAAAAGTAGCTGTAAGTCTGGTTGATCATGCTGTTTGTTCTTGCATCCTGGTGAATTTATTAATCTGAGGCCAATAAAGGGTTTCAGGGTTTCTGCAACAGCTGTTCAAGCTCTTCCATCTCCGTGCACCGGATGGTGGCTCTCAAAAGAGTTAGATCAGCCTTTCCGCTATTTTTGTAACTGAATTAGATCATGAAAGGGGTAAACTTTGTAACATATATTCTGGAGAAGATAAGCAATACTGATGTCTCCTCTTTATGCAGGAAACTAATGAGCAGCTCTGAGGCTGAAAAAATGGACCTTAGTTCAGAAAAATGACCACTCATGAAAGTTCCTAACTAAAGTGATGGGAAACTTATTTATGGTGTTGTGTAGACCACTTCATGACTAAGTATGGCCAGTGCTTGGGACAGAGGTCCAGAACCAGCATCTCTGTCAGTACTGCATCCTGCTGAAGGTGATGATTCTTAGCAAGTACCAGGAACTTTGAAAACTCATTATATTGATGTGCTGTAAACAAGTGTGCTTTGTTAGAAAAGCATTAAAACTTTGTGAAACACAAAGTGATGATTTCCATTTTTAACCTTTGTCATAAAGACTTTTCCTATTTCTAAAAACAAAAGATGTTTTCACTTAACAGAGACTTACTGTCAGAAGCCTCAGAATTTGCTCAGCAAGACTTGATCTTGTTTTCTGCACCTCGAGCAGCCTGTCCTGTAGTACTTGTCCCCATGCTGTCCCTTTGAAGGATTCTGTGGAGCTGCAAGGTGGCTCAAGCTCATGCCTTGAGCTTCTCTGCAGCAAGTCCAGCTCCCTGGGACATGTTCAGAGCTGTGCTTGTGAAGACCTATGCTTCAGCTCCAGATTTTTCATTACCCTTTGACTGTTCATTAGGACTAGGAAGATGTCTGCTGAAGTACAGACTCTGTGCCAGGGCTGACTGGCACAGCCCTGTATGCTGAGGTTATGCAGATCCAGGAGGTTCAGCTAGATGCTGCCAGGTTATTAATTGTTTTTTAGCAGTGTGAATGAAGTAGGATGGAGAAGAAAGAGAAGGTATCAATATTAAAACAGGTGAGATTCAGCGTACAGGATTTGGGACAGCACAGGCTGTGGAGGATATGTGTGGCAGAGACCCACATTGCTCCAGGAAAAGAAAATGGATCACTTTGGATAGATACTCCAGTGTGTACAAGACACCCAGCACATCTTCCCAAAGCAGAGCTGGTGCCTGTGTTGACACTGGGAGGTTCCCACTCCCCCACTGTGCTGCAGCTGTGCTGGGACAGAACTTGTCCATGATACTGTGAACCGAGTGCTCCCTCGTGGGTTTTGCTTTTTTGAGTGAAAGCAGTGATCTGGTTCTCAATGCTGCCAGCTGTGTTTGGTGTAGGATGGGTAGTGAGCTCATGTCCTGCCTGTTCTGATTGCAGCCTTCTCAAAGCAGCCACTCACCAAGACTAAAAGATTTATCAAGGTTTATCATGCAAAATTGCTCTATTCTGGATAATTTAATTAGTGTTTAAATTTGTCTTTCATGGCTGGTGTCTGATGGTGTGGTTTGTACTATATTTTTGTTTTGTAGCTTTATCTTATTAAGAGAAAGGTGTGTGCGGTAGAAGACATTTCCCATACATGTGGGGATGAAGATAAAAAGACATCTTTTCTGATTTTTTTTTCCTTTGCAGTACAATGTAAGAATGGCCCTCTAGTGGTCACAGCTCAAAAAATAATAATAAAAAAAAATAATTAAAGAAATGATACGGGGAGTTTGCTTCATCTCACCCAAGCAGTACGGCAATAATAGCTTTCTCCAGGGCTCTCAAGCAAAGAAACCAAAATGATGAAAGTTTTTCTCTTCTCCTTGACATTCTCGTGCTTCTGCATGGAGGAGTTAAGATAATATTTGCAATTTAGTCATGTAATTGGCAGCTTCAGACTATGCATCTGGGGAGCTTCACTTAAATGACTTAACCGTGCACGTTAATAACGATGGCAATTATTTATTGAATAATAGACTATTGGGTTTCTTAAGTAGCTAAGGCACTGAGCTGTGGAACAAAGACTAGCACAAATTACGTTGTCAACTGTATTTCAGTTTGTTCCTGAAACCACCATACTGTGCCTTCTTTTTGTTCGCTTTTCTGTAACTCTTTTTTCTCTTTGAATTCTTCTCAACAGCCCAGTGACTTCTCAGTATCTCTAAAGGCATCGGGGAAGAACAAACATTTCAAGGTGCAGCTCGTGGACAATGTCTATTGTATTGGGCAGCGTCGCTTTAATACTATGGATGAGTTGGTGGAACACTACAAAAAGGCTCCCATCTTCACCAGTGAACACGGGGAAAAGCTATATCTTGTGAAAGCACTTCAGTGACGATGAAGATGGACTTGGCCACCCAGGCCTCTTCTAACTTCCAAGCCTTAGGTCCTAAAATCACTTTTATAGAGCAGAGCAATATCCGAAACAGGCTTAAAGAGTAGGCTCTTTCTAACGTGTTTGCTCTGTTGGTTGTTATTTGTCCTTTTTCGTTTGCCTACTTTTGTGTTTCAGTTCTGTTAATCTCAGATCACCTCCCTTCAGGTTGAGAAGTTCACCTTTGTGGCCATTGTAAGCACTCACTTCCATGTCCGAGTTCTAAACTCCCCTCTTCTGTGTACGTTTACATACTTAGCTCGGATAAAGGAGGGGGGTTTGCAATTCAATCCAGTGTTAACCTGTTCAAATTGCTCACGCAGACAGACAGAACTCTTCATTAAGAGACATCGGGCACAGTTTGAATGCACTGAGGCTGCAGCTAAGTAAGTGAGATATAGTAGACATAACAGTTGTGGCTGTGAGTTCTGTAGCTATATTGCTTACCAGGTAGTATATTACAAAAACTCCTAGTTCCTAGAAGCACTCTTTACACTGTACTCTGCTATTACATTGCCTCTCTGACTCTTTGCAAAGAGTACACTAATTAAAGCGTTTTGTAATAGTACTTCTTAAACTACTATGGTAAGATTGTAGTAAAAGAAAACTATCTAGTGTATTTTGGTCTGTAATTGCAACAAAGAGAAATTTTATTTGAAAGTTGATTACTAAAGAGAGAATCATTGAATTGTAAAGACTGAATGTTCTGGTAATCTACAACCAAATGTGCCATCCACATAATGCTTTTTTCCTCTTGCCCTTCTGCTTGTTTGAATTAAACAATTATGTATTTAATTCTCAAAGTAATATGTATCTGTAGCTGATTGTTGACACTAATACAGAAGATTAATAAAAACTGATCAGGGGACAGGGTGGGGTGGGCTACCAACACTATATATATATTTGCTTTACAGAAAGGAATCTTCAGGTTTTACAGAGGATGGTGTGATTGGTAGGAAGAGACACACAGAATGTTTATGAAGAAAATGCTTTTTTTCTCTTTTCTTTACATTTAAACTCCTTTACGGTTTAAATATACAGACTTTAGATGGCACACTCCTGAGATTGAAGAAGGGATCTTGAGATCTCAAAATCTTGCGTACTCAGTTTTTTGGATATTGTAATAAAAAAGGTATTATGTCATGATGGAGTACTGGGTTTATCCTTGGGTGGTAGTCCTGGTGTGGTTTTAGAAAGGTCAAATAGAGTAAATTCTGAATTTGTCTGTCTTGGAATGCGTGTGGCCTGTGAAGAAAATATTTGCAACTGCAGAGTTCAGTTTGATATGAGGCAATGTCTGATGAGCTCCACGTTGATTGTCTCTGTGATTTGTTTATAGCTTTAATGAAAACTGCAAGATGGAGCTCTTTTATGGTACCTTTTTGCTATTAACCCTTACAGATTTTGTATTTCAGCCAGTAGTGATATGTACGTAACTCCAGAGTAGGCAGAGCGGGCACCAGCTCTCAAAGTAATCCCTCCTATTTCATTTTATGATGTCAGAGGTGAATGTTGGTGGGGTGGCAGTAGAGGCTGAACCTTCCCACCAATGTCCTGTAACATTTTGTTGCTGTGTGACAGGTGGCAGCAGAGGGGCACTCCGACACAATGGTGTCTGACATGAAACTATGTATGAAACAAAGGTGTCTCATTGAATTCTTCCATGCAGAAAAAAAATGGCATCCATTGACATTCATCAACATTTGCTGGAACTTTATGGAGACCAGACAGTGGATGTGAGCACAGTGAGGCGACGAATGGTGCGTTTCAGCAGAGGTGACAGCAACATCAAAGACAAGCCATGTTCTGGATGGCCATGCAGATTTTTGTGACTGTGGTGTGCAGGCTCTTCTTCATCATTGGTAAAAATGCATAGCTGGCGGTGATGACTCTGTTGAAAAAGTGTTTTGAGAATTTGTTCTATCAAATAGTGTTACTGTGCTCTTTGTATCTGTTGTAGTTTCCATGGAAGTAAATTGAGGCATTCCTTTCAGAGCAACCAACATACAACTTCGTGAGTTATACACGTGTTATTCACCCACCACTCTTCTAATCCAGATGATCTCACAGAAATAAGAACTGTGTATGAATTAACAGCTGTATTTTTCTGTATGTGGGTAAACAAAAATTGGGCACTGAAAATTCTGCATGGTCCAGCCTCATGAAGGAAAGTAGTGATTTAGTGCAGACTAGAACAATCACTCTTCATCCTGGCAAGAACATACCCATGGCTAGGTTCTAGGAGCAGAAGAGTTTTCATTACAGAGTTGTCAAGAAGTGTCCCTTGATTACAGTCTTCTTGCCAGGACATCACAGTTGGTTTCTTCCTAGCCTTTGAAGTGAGTTCTGCAGAGACCATAGGTCTTTTGCTGTCTAATATCTAGTTCTTCATTTAGCTAAATGTAAGCATGTACCTTGAATATGGCAAAGATGTTAAGAATTTCAGTAAACTAACGACTACAGTTACTGTTTTGTGCCCCATGTTCATTTTTCTGAAACATTCATTGTATTTCTTGTTCCAGAATTTTTGCCATGTGCTTGATATTTCAAGGGGTTTACAATCCTTTTATTTTTTTTCTTCTTCCACCTCTTGCCTTGTGAACAGCTTCTTAATATTGAGGCACCAACCATTGAAGTATTTTGTTTGGAAGCAGTTAGTTAATTTAAGACCCAGCAGTATGAACAACTAGCTTGATTTTTTTTTTTTAAACAAGCTTCATCTTGTTTTTGCCCACTCTGTATTTAATCAACATGCAGTCTATTCAGCAGGCTCATTAATAGGTCTTCAGTTCCCAGTCTTTGCTAATTAAGATAGGTTTCTGCAAGTTTTACTGCCTTTTTGACCTCATTTTCTGGACTGGGCCTTAAGCATTAAAAATCTTCAGTGATAACAGTTTAATAAAGGACAGTATTACATGGGTTTTTGTTTTCTCATTTTCTCATTTTATACCTATGCTTCCTATCTTTTGACAAAACTGAAATCTTTGTTTTTTGACTACTTAAAGCCTCTTTGTCAAAACATGGAATTAGGGGGTGTTTTTTGTTGTGAGATTATAGGAATTGTGGTTACCTGAGTTTCTTCTCCTGCAGTTTTCATTAAAAGCTCAAATAATGTCTGATGAAGTGGTGATTTTTCTTAATGATATTTAGCCTGGCTTTTTTTGTCATACCTGGTTCATATAGGTGCATCTGTTTTGTTTTGAGGTATTACATTTGTACAGTTGTTGAATGTTTTCTTGCATCGATACTGTTTACATAGGATGGTGAATGAGTTTTCTGAATCTGTAGTAGTTGCTGTACTTCCTTTGTAGTGGCAGGAATTTGAGATCCATGCTTTTACTTTTAGCTCCAGGTTTTCGTCAGTGAGCTTCCTCTTCAGATTATCCTGACCACTGTGATATCACCAAGCACACAGTACAAAAAGGTGGTCAAATCCTGTCACTTCTGAACTTGCACATCCTTCTAGGCTGTACCGGTCCTTTCTTAAGGCTGTTTTACTTAGAATACTTGGTCCTTGCTTTTTTGCTATTCACTCTTGCAGACTGAAAAGTTTCTGGAGAGGCAGGGAGGAGGTCCTGGCTATCACTAGTCTTTTATTTTTTGAGAGAAGATTTAGAGGGGGCATTTTGCTACTGTTATTTAGCCACTTTGCAACTGTATATAGCTGGGAACTGATGCTGTTTGTCAGTGCCTCCACTGCCATGCTGCTGTTACCCATGCTGATACTTGGCAAAAAAATAAAAATCAGAGAGCTTTAGGATTTACTCTCTCTTGCAGATGAATGCACACAAGCTTTTTCTTAGCTCCCAAGCCAGACAGTTACTTGCCAGCTCCAAATTGGAAAAAGCGTAAACTTATGGCACGATGCTGAGTCTTAAACTGGAAGTCTTGCAGAGGAGTACAACAGAAACTGTAAATAAAGCAGTGCAGCTTTCAGCTGATTTAAGGTGCCTGTCAGCAAAATATGACACAGTTTGGTTCCAGATAGCCACAGCTGACCGATTGAGTTTTGAAAGTAGTCACACTAGTTGCAGGCAGATTACTGAAGGATTAAACTACGAGTAAACAGAGAGCATGCTGGGTAAGCTCGTGTGGTCCTGCTGTGCTGTAAAAGCAAAGGCTTTGCTTTGCCTTTGCTTTTGGGGAGAGGAGAGAAAAGGTGGTTGGGTAATTAACATGAATGTGAGCTGTATGAATGGACTAAAAATCATGGTCTTGAATAATTCTGTTTAGTATTCTCTAGTCAATTTTTTTTGTCTCAGAAATTAAGGTAGCAGTCAGTAGTTGACAGCTACGCTTTCAGGCCTTTACTGTAGCTTTCCTGTAGTGTAAAACAAATGTCCTAATGTAATGGTTTCACTAAAGGCAAATAAGAGATCTGTGCTTAAAGTGATGAGTTTTGTTACGACAAAGGTGAAATGTTTAAAACCATTTTACAATTTTACCTATAAGAATGAAGCAAACCTTGCCTTAACTACAAGCAAAAACATTAAAAAAAAATCTAGAAAAGGGACCATGCTTCTTTTGGATTTGGTCTGACATTTTATTTGGCAAAAGCTGCTACATAACTGGAAGGGCATTTGTTCCTTCTTGGTCTTAAGCAGATCTATTCTGCAGTTTGGAAGTAAGGAAACATGTGCAATCTCCCCAAAATCTGTTGAGTTCTGCGTTCCTCCTCCAGTAGCATAGGATGACTCATTTTCAAATGGAAACTTGTTAACATATTTATACCAGTAATCTGTGAAAGGTGTATTGAAGAAGTGACTTTCAGCTCCTTACAATTACAGCCTTTCCAGTCTTAACAAAATGAGGTGCTTTCTTTTTTAAGAAGTGGAAAAGCATAAAGCAGCAAGAGTGCAGAGTGCCCAGTCCCCACTGGTACTACAGATCACCTGGACCGTGTGAATAAAAGGTCTCATGGTAAAAGAAGGACACAGGTAAACTGTACCATTCCTTTCATTAGTTGCTCCTAGGTGGATTAGGCTTTTCAGTAACAAGTAAATCAGTTGTGCAATAATGTTGTAGAAAAGATAGAATCATAGAACATAGAATCATAGAATTGCACAGATTGGAAAAGACCTTAAAGATCGAGTCCAACCACAACCTAACCATATTATCCATATTTAGCCCTCTGCTAAATCATGTCCCTGAGCACCACATCCAAATGGTTTTTAAACACATCCAGGGATGGTGACTCAACCACCTCCCTGGGGAGCCTATTCCAGTGCTTAGCAACCCTTTCTGCAAAGAAGTGTTTCCTGATATCCAACCTAAGCATACTCTGGTGGAACTTGGGTGGCCATTTCCCCTCATCCTGTCACCAGTGAGAAGAGACCAGCCCTGCTCTCGCTGTAAGCACATTTCATAATGCAGTTTCAACCCAAATGTGCTCCAGTTTTAGTATATGGTAGAAGCATCTTGCATTTTTATATGTTCTTGTGCTGTTGTCTTGCAAAAGCAGTAGGTTGTCTGTTCAGTTGTATATTCATATCTATGGTTGTTGGATGTAACTTATATACAGAGAACATTTATGGGCCTGAAATGACTTAATGTGAAATATGACATCTAGATGACATGCTTTAAGCCATAATGTTTTCTGGTCCTTTCCATTGTTCTGGAACCCTATGCTTCTTTTATAATTTGGAATGCAAGTTTTTCTTGCATGTTTACTTAATGTTTCTTTTCCTGTTATAAAATAGCTTTTTGTCTCCTCTGTTGTTGTTTGGGGTATCTACCCAATCTCATAAAGAAGCTGACTAAAAGAAGTGGTATGTAACCCTTCTCATATTAGACAAGTTTTTCCTTGCTTTTTCTTTCATATGTGGTAATATTTAAATGGCTTAGGAGTGGGAGGTTAAAGAGATAAAAGAAAAAAAAAGAATCTTTAAATTGACAGATTATCTTCAGTAGTGGGAGTCCACAGTTATGAGGGGAAAGTTAGAGGTAAGAAGTGTTTTCTTCTCTTTCCTGAAATGAATTTGGCTTGACATCAGATGGCACTTGTGCATGAAGTATTAGAAAGGTTAACATATTCATGTGTCACAAGTTGAATCTGTTGTTACTGCTCAAACATCCGTTATTGATGAAGCAGAACATGGTGTGGTTCTTGAGCATCGTGAAGGTATTGGTCACTATCAAGGCAA